TCTCTGTCTTTCAGCTTTGTTATGTCTACCTTCTTTGGCGGTTTTGTTCGATTGTTTCTAACAGGCTTCTTCAAATGCATTGCCGTATGTGAGCAAACAATTTTATTGAATTTTGTTAGACAGAATCATTCTATTTATTTTTTCCGGACTAATTCCCCCATTTTTGTTGTTTGTTTTTACACATTTTACTTGCATTTCACTCTGGCTTCTAGAATCTTTTGCATTAAATAATATTGTGGAATTACATTTTAAATTCGATTTTTATACGAAAATTCGATTTTTAAAGTGTTTTATACGAAAAATGTAAGACGTAATGCTTTTCAAACGTGGCACCTTTTACATAGCGATGTTGTCTATATTTCGTGTAAGTGTAAGTGTATTGATATTTATAGGTAGAATAGAATATTAAATCCTAAAATGAAATGTTACCTTTCAGATTAAACTTTTTATTTTACTTCTGTATGTTATGAAACACAATGTATAGGTAATTACTGGTACTATTATTATTATTGTTGTTGTTGATATTGATAACAACAACAACAACAATAATAATAACTATAATAATAATATAATAAACTGATCACACGTTTAATTTATAAAGGCAAGACATGTTTGGCCATCGATTCATATATTGATTGGTAGTATTCGAACTAAAAGCACCTAAACGAAACATCTCGTTAAATAGAATTCCATAAGCTGTGATGCTGCATCTCTTTATTATTTGAATTTTGTTAAGTATTTTTGAATGTATGTAGCAGCAACAGTCTACCCTAAGTGGCTCTTGAGCCTTATATTAGTTGAACGTTAGTATAAAAAAATTATCGAAACACCAGAAAAATCATAAAACTCAAATTCATCTGTCAAAGTTGTTTGAAATCTTATAAATTCTAGACTGACTATTAAAATGAAAATCTTTTCTCCCAATGAGAAAGCAGATAGATCCACAACATTTATAATTCCATATGCTACCAGTAAGCTATGTTTGAGTTTGCATATCGTTGCCAATAAGTGAAACTCATACTACTAGAAACTAGTAAGAGCTTTAGACTAACAGAACAATCACCCATCTTTTGTTTTCTTCTACTACAAGATCATATGATCTCCAAGCATTGCAACCTGAAATGATCTTTCCTCGCGGGAACAACAATCCGAGATGAAGTATGTCTCAGGAGAAGTAGAATTCATTTTAAGAATTGGTGAGTATCTTATACTTTATTTTATCAACCGTGTAATATTGCTGTAACAAGCTGATAACTTGATGGATTACTTGAAAGTGTCAGTCATAGTGTAAAGACGAAATAGATACTAATGCAATGAGGATTTTGCTGATTCTTATAACAGAACTTCAAATAAGAATGGAGTTTTCGAATTCGGGCTAAGACTAGAGTAAACTTCCTTTATTTTGTGTGTTGGAACAAGTCAGATCAATGTAAAATTAGTTATAGAACATTCAGTCTGTGTATCTCCGAAGCAGCTCTATTGAAGTTATGTTAAGGTTTTAAGCCAAGGCTTCGCAGAAATCAAATTGAATTCCGTGAATTCAAATATATTTTTAACATCTCAGTTACTGATTCATGTGCTCGTTTGATATTTTTCCAGTAGACAAGCATTATTTAATATTTACTTGAAAAATCTAGATTTTATTACTATTGAAGGCCATCAAAGTCATAAATCAGTTCTCTTAGATGCAAATTATAATCTCAGTAAATTTAAAGCGTCCACTTGATTAAAAATTGTAAAATAAATAAACACCAGATTTAGTTTTGCTTGCTGCAGTCATAGTAAAGTTTCAACTAGATTTACTACTTTCATCAGTAGAAATGTAACTGCCTATTCATTAAAATACAACGGGTATATCAAGTAGACGTCATAAGAAATTCACTGAAACAAGAAATATAAACTATACAGCTTTGATTTTCCTATGAAAAAATACCGAGACTTTGAGTCCAATAAAATATCTGATTTATAAATTTTCCAATAAATGTCAACCTCAAATCGGGGAATCTGCAGCTATCTGCTGCTGCTGTTTTCATCATGTTCTTACGGTTATTAGTGATAGAGTAAATTAAATAGAAAGAATACAATAGAGGGTAAAAGAAACTGTATATGCAGAAATGTCCTTTTCCGTACATACAGAGTCCAATTAAAGATGTTGGAAGACTTACATTAGAGAAAAGCTTTTTTTTTTAACTTTCGGTTTGGTGGTGTTATCAGATATGCTTGCATATAATCAAGTAAGATTAGTGTATCTCTATGGTGTGTTGTGTTCAGTGGTTCGCTGAGGACTAAAGTTCACCAACAAAGGTCTTATCTCTAAAGCGTCCTGCGGCTAAAAGAGAAAAATAAAGAAGCTTTCGCACTCTTTTCTTATATACTGCTTTTGGCAAAACTAGATGGCGGTCGTTAGCAGAAGTTGTTTGACGGATAAGTGGGGTAAGCCCGCACTATGATTACTCGTTCAAGTCTGAAACGTTTATAACATTTCTCTTTCATTTGTCATAATTAAACTGAACAGACAAGAAGATTAATTATCAACTGCTAAAATAAATAAATAATAAAAAATAAAAGATAAAACAAAGAACGTAATGATTGATTTTTATTTCCTCGTTAAAATGAGGAAAAGACAAAGCATTATTTCAAATATCAACCGATACTCAATTTTCCTCCGCCGATGTCAGCGAAGTTCAGAAAATTCCAAATCTCTAAGTCAACAGGACAAAATAAAGAACTGTCGACCAGACAGAAATAAACAAGAGAGAATCACAAAAGGGAAGGAAACTTTCAAAATATATAAAAATACCTTTCAGGACATTCACATACTTCTTAATTTTTCATAGGTACTTTTCATATACATACGCATACATAGACGTGCTCACATACAAATATCCACTCTTACAAATGCAACTGTTGTAAACACATGCATATGTGTATGTGTGTAGAAGAGAGAAAAAGAGAGAGGGAGAGAGAGAGAGAGAGAGAGACGGAGGTACATGCGGCTAAATGTTTGTGTATATAGAAATATATTCTTCTGTTGGGCAAGGTTTAATACCTTCTAAATAAATAAGTTCATAAAATTGTAGATCATTTCAACACTCAGTATGATAGAAAGCCACAATAAGAGAAACCGAATGAGCAGCCATTATCAACCATCTCTTTGCAAAAGGCGCGTCTATAGTTAATCGAAAATTATGAAAGAGAAAGCTCTTGAAACTTTACATTGTTTCTCGGAGCCTTCACATAGTTATGTGCACATACGTTAGTCGAAGTCTATGGTTTTCAATTATGGCGGTTATGTAAAATTGTCCCTTATTTCCTTACATGCATACATACATACATACATACATACACTAAATAAATACACAAATCATCATTATTATCATATATTCTCATCGTCTTTAACAGCCAACCTTAGTTTCCTATTGCGGATCTGGTTTGTTGATCTTAGTAATTATGCTAAATTACTTTCAAGAAGCTTCGACAACTTTTTACTTCTTGGGGTATGAATTTACTTTCTCTTATGTGATTGTTTATTTTACGGTATCAGAATTGGTTTGTGTATGAGCAGGAGTGTTTATGTAAGTGGCAGATTTGAAATATGTCATTTTTAAATCGGAATCGTGTGAAATAGTAGTCGGTCGTTGAATTCAAAACATTTGTCCTCTTTCATTTTTCACCATTGATACATTTCGGATGTCAGTAATTCTTGTGTACAGAGTGTATCTATCACTAACACACGCACACACACGGGTGAACACGCGCACACACATGCACACATATAGGCGTGCACACGCGCATATAGATGATATATATTTTCATTATTTATATAAATTTTGTACAAACCAAGAATGTCAAAAATGCATTATTTTCACCTTTACTAACTGCAAAGTAAATATGGTATACTGACCAGTTAGCAAGATATGTTAATGAGCTGAATCTGTATGTCTCACCTCTTTCTCGCATACACAAATATGTACATATATATATATATATATATATGTGTGTGTGTGTGTGTGTGTGCGTGTTTGTGTGTGGAAGACCTTAAATATATCGTATTTTTAATTGCAGCTACAATAATTTGTAAATATATTACCGCATTGCTTGTGTGTGTGTGTGTGTGTGTGTGTGTGTGTGTGTGTGTGTGTGTGTGTGTGTACTAGGTGAATGCTGAAAGGTTTTTGGGACGACCCAATTCTTCAAGATCGGTATTCTGATGTTTGGTCATTGAAATACAGATTTTGGGAAGTGGGTTGGATTGAGAACTTTTCAGCACTTCCTCGTACATAACGAAAAAAATAAAAAATAAAAAAATAAAACAAAAAACAGGAACTAAGTGACTGTTGTAAACAGAAACGAACATTCTGACCGGAAGACTGACACGCGCAAATGCATATTCAGTAATTTATACATATAAATGTACTTGAGTTCAAGCGAATTCATTTAATTAGTTAGACTTTACAAATGGAATTACATCATATGTCAGTACATATTCGAGAGTATCTTTTATAAGATCACATGTGTTTTTATTTTTTAACAGTTTTTCCCTTTCGTTAAATTATCACAATCCTCTGATGATAAATCAGTAGGAAAATAAGAGTGCTTTGCAGTCAAGTGAGAAAGAGGAAAATTTCCTTAAACGTTTATAATAATACAAACACGAAGACAAAAGCGACATCTTCGTAAATTTAAAACAAGCAGTACTAACACTGAAGACATAAACGATGGTCCATTTTTTTCCTTCATCTTCTTTCTCTGATTCTTCTTTTTCTTTTTTTCTTGCATTAGATAAAGACATCCATATTCGCCATTTTCTCTTTACATTCATCTTTTTGTCTGTGTATTCTGTCTCCCGCAATGTCACAACCTGTTGGCCCTATTTGCAGCAACGCTATAATACAGGAGAATTGCGCAGTTCGGTTGCCTTCAGAATCTGATATTCCAGGAACCAGATGACAAAAGCAATGAGGGTGAATAGAGCCGAAATAATGGACAAGATGAGCGACCAGCCGACACCGATCGGGCCCGTAATTTCGACATCTATCAACGACGGCAGATTGTTTATGACTCGCATATTCTGCAGTTTGAGAGATTCGAGGTAGTCTTGTGCCTTGACGCCCATTACAATGGTACCCATTAATGTCATGCAACCTGCCAAAGAGAAAAAATAACTAATTTAACAGACACAAAATAGTTTCAACAGAGAACAAAGTAAAAATATGAAATGATAGAAGGATAAAAAAGAAGAAAAGCAAAAAAGGAAGTGAAACAGAAAAAAAGGAGAAATATTGAGATAGAAAAGATTTATTAAAGGAAGATGGATAAAAAAAAACAAATAGAAAAGCAAATAAATTTAAGGTGTCATGACATCGCATGCAAATTCGACAACAATGTATTATCAAAAAAATTAATTATGATGGAATTATGATAGTGTCGACGAACTCAAAACTAAAAAAAAACAGTTTTTCTCTTAAGGCAGCAAAAATGCTACGGTCTTTGACGGTAAATGTTTGGAAAGAAAAATCACCCTTGATGCCATTTGCTTATGTATGCGACTACCATCCCTAGGCATAGTGAAAATGTCTTCTAGAAAGATCCAAATTTCTCCAGAACTCGTCTGGTTAAAAGCTGCCATAAATGATACTTAAAAACGGAAATAGCAGTGTCCTAGAAAATCACCAAAATTAAGTATAAATCTAGTATTTTAAAATTAATTCTTTATTCTATAATTTAATTGTTGCGCATAAAGTGACGGCGCGCGAATACACACGCACATACGTTCAATACGTTTCATTGAATGTGTCAGGAAAAGAAAAGCTTTTCATTAATATTTTTAATATTCTTACAGTTTCCCTATTTTGTGTATGGGAGAATAAGAGAGTGTAGAAACTGTCCGTAATTATTACTGTCCCAAGCATTTTCAACCAATTCTTTAGCCATTCGTTGCTAATAGGTTTTTCTGTGTTGATGTTCTAAGTTGTATTGTGTTGATCTTAAGCTGTGCTAGAAGAGACGTGGTTGGGATTTCATGTTGGAGGTGTCTTTTAAAAGACAGCCAACACCATACTACTGTCGTGAAATTGTGTAAGTTTGAAACTTGGTTCAAATTGTTTTAACTAAAGAGCTTCAATTATGTCAAAACGTATTTTATAATTAGATTTCTTTAGAATTATGATGTTATCTACAATGATTTTCTAATGGGGAGACAGTTGTGTGTTGGTGTCTGGGTGCTTTTTTTATGTCACTGAAGTGATTTGTCAGCCTTCGACTTGTTGTTTCCGACGTATATCCAATGTAGACATTCCGTTTATTACAAGAGCCACAGTCTTGTACAGGGCAATGAAATTGAAAAACTACATTGGTGTTCTTAAATTTAAATTTGATCGGCATATTGTCACTCGGTGTTTATTTCAGTGTTAAATTAGTTAATTATTAATAAGTCGTACATATATTTATCATGAAATATTTATCTTATGTCAACGTTCCGGAAGTTTTCATATTCCATCTTGACAAAACGATTCTCGATTACTCGCAGTAAATTTGTCAGTAAAAATTAAACATAACAGGCATCTTTAAATCTTCCACCAAATAAGGAAACTAATGATATTCCCATGGTGCCAAATCTGTTAAATCAGTCACGTGTGGAAAAAAATTCCAACTTTCTTTGTAGTTTTCTGAATGTATGGGCGATGTTTGTAATAAAGCAGTATGACTTTTCCAGTTTGTTTTGTAATTGAATTTCTCTTCGTTTGCAGCTCTGAAACTTCGAAAGTGACGACTGTAATGATCTGTAGTAACAGTTTCACCCGGTTTCAACACTCAGTAATGCTGTATGCCGTTTATATCCCACCAAATAAGAAACAATATCTTTCTTTTTTTCGAAACGTTTAGTGATTTTTGTTGATGTTGGGTGCAGCTGGGATTTTCAACGACTCGTATTACTGCAGTCGTCCCAATTTTTTTATTTTCAAGTGACAAAATACCATATGACAAGAAATGAAATGCAAATTGCGTGATGTTCTTCAATGCTTCGCTCTGACGCTTGAAAGCCATTAATCGCTTTTAAAAATTCTTGCGCATAGTTTGTAAACATTTTTCAACTGTTGAGGGATTGACACTAAGCTTTTCACCTCATTCCATTCATTGAGTTGAGGTATCATCTAAAAGAACTTGCAAATTCTCGCTTCTAAATTCTTGTGGTTGACCGCGGGGTAGTTTGTCAAATTCATTTTTTATCTTCACAAGCTTGAGTAAATAACATGTGAAATATGTGTCAACCTATATATCTAAGATGACACTTATGATCAAAAGAGCAACAATACTTCTCCCCCTTGAAATCTAGCCTTTTCTTATTCAAGAACTTGAAGTCATTCAGAAGTTAGTTAATGGGTCTAAAATAGTCTAAGAACGTAATAAATCACTTGGATATTACAGTATGTAATTAATGACAAAGAACATTTGAAAGGATGCCTTCCGTGGCATGATGAAGCACCGAGTACCACCAGTACAATGTTAATAGTTTTAAAGAGCAGAAGATGAAACTAATGTAACTATATAAGTGAATAATTTGTGAGAATAATTTCTAGAACTTACCTGCAGAAAATGTTATGAGGCAAAGGCAGATAACTGTCAATGTTTTATTGAAGCATGTGATTGTGATGGATGTGTAGATTGCCATTATAAGTAAACAGGCAAAGTGACAAAGGAGAGCAATGATCAAAAAGGTTTGCGAGGCACGAGCAAAATCTGAAACGAGAAAGGAACTAGAAATAATAATAATAATAATAATAATAATGGTTGTTGTTGTTATTGTTGTTATCACAAAGGAGAAGAAAGTGCCAGAGAATGGCAAAGTGACAATTCTGTGTGATATTCCAATACAAGATATAATCTCGTAACACAAACAGAAAAGACAAAAAGAAGGAAAACTGCAGTGTACCTTCTAGACAATGTAGTAAAAGAAAGCGAAATTAATCATTAATTGTAAGAAGTCAAAATGTATGGTTGTCAGCAAAAAGAAGAGCCTAAGATGCAAACTACAAATTGGAGATGTCAAAATCAAGTAAGTATGAAAATTTAAGTATCTGGAAAATATTCTAACAGAAGGCGAAAAAAAGGTGACACCGAAATCAGAAGGCGCATTGGAATAGCGAAAGCAAAAATATTAAGAAACTTGAAAGTTTCGTTAGAAATAAAGAAAAGAGTACTGTAATGATATCTAATCCTCGCAGTCTTCCTCTATGGCAGTGAATATTGGACAGTCTCCTCGCAGATGAAGAACAAGACTTGAAGCAAAAGTAATGTGGTTCTACGAAATAATGCTGAACAATAATCAAGAGATTTTAAGGAAAATGGAAACAAATAGGACGTTTATACTTAGAATCAAACAAGTGAAATTTCTACATGCCCTCTTTCTTCACGATATGGGAGAGAGGAAAGTAGCGAGTAACCTACCTAACGAGCTTGTGTAAACGGATGGCAGAACAGGGATTGGGAGAGATAACAAGAAATGAAAATTTACTATGAGCTACAAAATATAAGAAGTTATGGAGAGCCATGTATTGCTCATTTTCTGAAGGGACATGGTATAAAGAAGAAGAAAACCTGGTAGAAGTTTCCTGTCCATTTGATATGAGAATTGAAAGCATCGACAACTACCATAATTTAAAGTATTAAATTTTGAATGTTTAGTAAGGACGAACAAAGAAAGTAATTATAGTACCAATGATAATTGGAGTATGGAAGTGTTGTGCAAAACACAGTTTAGAGACACAACACTTTTTCACATGAACATGCAAACATTGGATTGTGATTCAGAAATAGAGCCAAAAACTTTGCATATTCGGAAAGCAAGTCTACATCGAAATGTACTGGATACATTTTAAGTCACAAGAGTTGACCGGAAAATAAACCTTACCAGCAACCAGCATCATATGCTTTACGGTAGCGAAAAATAATAATAATAATAATAATAATAATAATAATAATTGTTATTAGAGACCACAAAAAAATGCCTCCTTATTGATATGGCAGTCCCTGCAGACTGCAATGTATCTTTGAAGATATTCAAAAAGCTGTCAAAATACAAGGACCTTGAAATAGAAATCTCAAAAATGTGGCACATCGGATCATTAACAATCCCTGTTGTAGTTGGATACCTAAGATTGGTTGGAAAAGATTGCAGTAGACTAATTGAAGGGATTCCTGGAAGTCCATGCCTGAAAGAGATACAAAAAATTGTTCTCACAAGTACAGCCCACATTTTACGAAGGGCTTTATCTATGTAAGTTTTTTTTTTTTTTTTGTCAATGGAAAGTGTCATGAAGCCATTTCTAACCTTAGGTCCCTGGGCGGGACCCGGAAAGAAATGTGTAAACGCCAGAAATCAAAGGAAATAATAATAATAATAATAATAATAATAATAATAATAATAATAATAATAAAACACGGTTCTCATGGTTTCTGATCTTGATTGATTGAAAACATTAAAATGTATATGCTTTTCTCTGGTGAATTAAGATGGGCTACAGCACTATTCCGTTTAGTATCATACATTTGCTTGTTAGTTGCCTGACCATAACCAGTTTGGTAGGACCCCTATGTACTGACGGAATGTGCATCTCTGTTTATGGGTGGGAATAGTGGTGGAGTATGCAAGGCTTATGTGCTGTCTTTATAAAAACATATCAATATGTTGTGCACATATAGCAGTGAAGCATTTGCCTAGGATATCCTTATCATAACTAACCTCATGATAAGTATATTGGTATTTGTATATTTGTACTCCAGCATCTTTTTTTTTGGCGTGATGCTTTCTCACTCAATAATAATAATAATAATAATAATAATAATAATAATAAATGCGAAAGATTAGACAAATACCTAGACTTCACAAGAGAACTAAAAAAATATGGATCATGAAGGTGATATTTGTAACAATTGTTGCTCGAGTAATTAAAATGGTCTTAACGAGTCTAACAAAAAGACTGGACGAACTGGAAATCCGAGAAAGAATCGAGTTCATACAAACAATAACATTATTACTGAAAACAGCTTGTATATTAAGGGCTACACTATTGAGGGGACGTGTTGTAATTTGTGTAAGCGATCAATTTGCGAATTGATGATCATAATTGTATTGCTGATGACGATGAGCTGAAATTATTGACAGGAAAATCGCAACAACAAAAAATCTTACAAAACTGAAACAATAACAATTATATAATACTTCTACTGAGAAAATGTAATACTCGTAAGCCAATGAAGATACTGAAATGCTGCTTGTAATGTAACGACAGAAATTGTTTTAACATTCTTTTAACCTATCGTTTTTTTTCTTTTAAACCTTATTTTTTATTTTTTATTTATCCGTTATTTATTTATTTTTTATTTTTTGGTTTCTTTGCTTTCTCATTCATCTATTGCTTTTAGTACAGACACTTTTTTATTTCTTTTCATAGGTATCCTCAAAATTGATGTATTTTTTTTTCGAAAAGAAAGCAAAAAAATGACTACCCCTGAAAATTATTCGATTCAAACAAACTTTTCAGTACTTATTTATTAATGAATGAATTGCATACTGAATAGATTATTTTATTAAAAATCGTTGTGTAAATATTATTTTGGGGGTGTCTTTTCCACCCCCTTTTCGATATCTTATGTGTAATTTTTAATTTGGGGGAGTGGGTGTTTGTCAAATCTTTTTCAAGTTATAAAAACAAAAATCCATGTAGTAGAGTCAAATATTTATGCAATATCAAGTGTGAACATACGAAAATTTCGTCCCATATCTTACCCCAAATGATTAAATATATCTCAAAAAATAATTTTGAAAATTGGTGCTTGCATAATTTAATAAAACATTATTTTTTCCATAACGGACAGAAAAAAGTGCGATTTTCTGTCCGTCACAAGAGTCTATTGAGTAAAGATATGTTTGAATAATCGAAAAATGTAAAAATTAATGCAATTTTTCGAGCATTAAGCTTTTAAAAAGAATTTTGATTTTTCTTTTAGCAGCGATTATATTACTTTTTCTATAGATTTACAAAAAGGAACTAATTCTGATTTCTCGCTTTTAACCATTCTGCTAAATTTCATAAAATCATATAGAAACTGTATTCTTAAATCATTATAATAATTTTACAGACAAAATAAAAAATAAAGGCAAGACTTGGATACCAATGAATAATTAAGAAAGAACTAAGTGAATGCACTTAAATAACATTATCAATTCAACAGCTCTTTACTAATTTTGCCCAATTTTTTAGTAACAATTTTGTTATTTTAATACATTTTCTTAAATTAAGAATTATATTTTTGAAAATCACTTTGTCTGAAACTATATAAGCTATGGAATGAAATATGTAAGAAAATAATTTAAAAAATAAAAGCAATGAATTAGACTCAAAAGTACCGTTTAACTAAAAAAAAATAACTACTTCTAATTAAAAAATAAAATTATTAATTCTACTAAATTTAATAAAGATTTATAGAATAAAAAAATGATATTCTTAAAATATTTGTCATATAAGATTAAAGATAATTTATTTTTAAGCATAAATACCAATTTATTGGTTATTGCACTTCTGGTTGTCCCTATTTCTTTATTATTTATTTTTCGCGCTTTTTTTAAGTCACTAGTGTCATTACACAGTTTTTGATTTAATTACATAAGAAAATTAATTTTCTTTTAACAAGGATCAATTTTGGGCCATATCTTTCAAATAAAACAAAAATTTAACTTCAAAGATGACATTTAAATTAATTAAAATGTGTTTTTCGTATTTTTTATAAAGTCTATAGCAATACTTTATATATATATATATATATATATATATATATATATATATATATATATATATAAGTATAAAAAAAATAGATCAGCCGATTCCGCTACCTTGGTTTCAACCTTTCGGTATCTTCAGGCGATTTCGGTCAATTGATTCCCTAACGCTTTATTTTAAAAAAAATTTAAAAATTATGAACGCTATATTTAAAATAAATAAATAAGCGAGGAGGAGGGAGAGAAGCAAGTGTATTGAAAATGTATCGGTGGGGGTAAATGAAATATACATGCATTCTTTTCATCACACTTCATATGAACAAAAGGAACTTTTTAGTAGATACTAGCAGTAGAGCCCGGCGTTGCCCGGGGATATAACAGTAAGAGATAGATCAAGTATCCACCATCATAAAGACTGAAAAATAAAATTGACAAAGATTATTGTTTAAGGTTGACGGACACGCATGTCTTAATTAGTTTTTTTTTTTTACGAATTGGTCAAACCCAAACTCAAACAAAAACATTGTTTTCAATCGTTATGAGTCTCTACCGATTGAATAGAATTTTAAACAATCGTCTTGTAAATGGAATTTTTAAAGCATTCAGAATGTAAAAATCAAGAAAAAGTGTGCAAGACAATAAGAAACACTACATGCCAAAAACAAAAAGTGAAGTTTTGTTGAAATCGGTTGAAAAATGTAGGTAGCCTTTCTGTAATCTTTTAGTTTTACAATTTATGATTTTTACTTATTGAATATAGTAATAAAAATTGCATATTTTGCTTGTGGTAATTCATAATTAGAATTCTGATTTGAATATATTTTCCACTCGTTGTTTCTAATACAAAAAATATTAACTTTATTTGGGTTTATTAATTATGATCTAACAAATCTTATTCATTTAGTAGCCTTTCTGTAATAATAATCTTTTACAATTTATGATTTTTACTTATTGAATACAGTAAAAAAATTGGACACCATGTGTATTTAAAGTAGTTTCCCGTTCCGGTTATTATTTTTAGTTAGATTATTGTTTAAGGTTGACGGACACGCATGTCGTAATTATTTTTTTAATTTTATTTTTTATTTTTTACGAATTGGTCAAACTCAAACTCAAACAAAAACATTGTTTTCAATCGTTATGAGTCTACTGATTGAATAGAATTTTATTATAAATAATTGTCTTGTAAATGGAATTTTTAAAGCATTCTGAATGTAAAAATAAAGAAATCTTTTTTATTTTTCTCTTTTAATTTCCACACATTTTTTGGCTAGTTTAGTAGAATTTCTAAGGATTTATAGCTTAAAGTTCTTAAAGTTACACTTAGTACACTCTATGCATACCTTTTTCTTGCCATTTTATATATTACTTCGGCTTTTTAAATTACTGCTTCAGATTTGCAAACTCCATCCAATAGACATCTGCTTTTATTTCTACAATTGCATATATTACTGTTAACAATGTTTTACTGCACGTTAGTTTTGAACTTTCTGGCGTTTTGTCTTTTTATTGTGGTTTCTAAACTACTAGTACAGCTGTAGATTAATTTAACTGTTTTTATTCAATATTTTATGTAATTCGGAATTTTGGTGAAGTGTTTATTAAGTAATTTGAAAAATGTTTTCCCAATTTTACATTTAATCTCTAAGTTAAAAGGCGGGGCGTTAAGTCAAATAATATTTTTCTTTTCCTCGAATTGTTCTTCATCTGTTGTTTTATTTGAGGTTTAAATTTCAGTTTGGTTTTATTCCCCTCTTCTTTTAAAGTCCTTTCATATTCTTTCTTTTTATCTTCGAAAATTATTTTACTTGAGGAATTTCTATATAACCTGGACTCTATTCCTTTTGGTGATTTGCTTTATTATACTTTACATATTATTTTTTTTTTTAATATGTGTATTGAACATTTTTAATATTACTGTCTCCTTGTCTAATTCAACAGTGACCATTAACTTTTTATATATATATATATATATATATATATATATATATATATATATATATATATATGTATAGGAAGTCAGTTTCTGTTTTGAGAAAGAAGTCTGGAATCAGAAAGGCGTCCCCAAATGTGGTGTTTATCACGCATTAATGCAATATGTAGACAGAAAGGTAGCCCTCCATATACAATCTTCGAATCCACTGAATCCATCGATATAGTAGAATAACTTTATCTATCTACAGATCCTACATATCTGGCGAGGACCACAATATGAAAACATTTCAAACCTCATCAGGAGTACAAGGAGGAAATGAGAGCCCCATTCTATTTCATCTCTACATGCTCTGCGCATTTACAAAGATAGATGTGATGAGATGGGCGCTGACCATTTAAGCATTCTATACTGCATCCCAAACTAATGGAAGGCAACGATCCTGCTTATCATCCTGAACCCAACATACTGATGATGAGGGTGGCTATGTTGACCACATTCATAGTTGTGGTAAGAATGATCTTGATTAGAAAATCAACATCCCCTAGCAAGTGTTCCAAGAAATGAGACTCAAGATAAACATTTCAAAAACAGAAACTATGATCTAGAATTGGAATGAAAGCAGTGATGACATGTATACTGAATCCGTCATAAAAACAATCCAGGATGTGGAATTAGTAAATAGATACCTCGGTCTGTGGATCAGTTATAACAAATAATGTATAGGAGAAAAGAAAGTGAATGGAGAATAGGCTGCGCCAGAGGTGGTTTCGCCCAATAAATTGCTACGAAACCAAAACGTCAACTTGTAGAATCGAGTCATTTTTTTAAATAGCCTAATCAAATGGAGACTATGAATGTCATGTATAGCGCCAAACTCGTTCAGAAATATCTCAACTTAGCTCTATGCAACCGCTTCCAAAGGTCAAAAATGCTTTGAGCAAGTGAAGGCTGGGGGTTTTGGCAAAGATCACCCTTCTTTGAACATTCTGGATAGGTGCCACAGAATCACAACGAAACTGTATCAACAGAAACTACATCACTTGAGGATCACCAACAGCAGCAATAACTAAAATGGATAGCATATGTAACTCGAAGAGAAAGTTATGGCACAACCAAGATGTTAACATTCCATATTACTTCAAATAAAAGGTTAGGAAAGAACCACGCATCAATACTGGAAAGAGCGATAACGGCTACTGGACAGAAGTAATCTTTTTTTCCTAAAAAATTTTTTAAGACAAAGATTTTATAAATTACAACCGAAAGCAGTACTGGTTGCTCAGTCAATGAATTCCAATGTTTTCTTGTAGAGAAACGGTTAATTTTACCATTACAATTACCTGGTTGTTCTTTGTAAGACCGACAGTCCCATTCGGCGCGTCCTTGTAAAACCAGACACAATTTCCATACGCCAACATATGCGCCACCATCCAAGATGACCCATGATGGTGCGCTGATGGACACTATGAAAAGGAGGAGTGCTCCCAAAATTGACAAACCAGCCAACGTGTCCGCCAATGAAACGTCCACTTTTGGTTTCCTTGGATATGTGATTGGTCGCACCTCTTCCATTGCGCTTTCACTTTCAGTTCATTCAGTGGCATCACAGACTGGAAATAAAGAAAGGAAAAAAAAAACACATTTTAAAGAAAAATTTAAAGATGACTGCATATAGAAATTAAAGAATGAAGGAAAAACTTGTAAGAAGAAAGATATTATGAACGAAAACGGAAACGTAGGATTTATAAGTGAAATATTATCCGCTGATAATAAGAGGAAATTATTAGGATAGAACCCAGAATTTTTAATGAAAGTAGCCTAGGTATATTCAATAATTCGCTGACAAAACAACATAATATGATAAAAAAAAAGGCCCAAACTTAATAAAAACAAAGTTTTATCGTAAAAATGTTTGTTATTAAGAGGAATGACCCAGGTATTTTTTAATTATTTTAAAAAAAAATTTAAGCGCGTCCGAAATTTTGGTTAAAAATCTTGTTTGTTTTTTACGTCAGCGGTCACGTAATATTACTATTAGTTCTTTTAGCACCTTTTCGGATTTTAGTGAAACTTTCAGATCTTATTAAAAAATGAATGAAATTATTGTAGAAATGTTTGTTTTTTAGAAAGTCCTGCTAAAAATATTTCTTACATCTGTTAACACTCCCTTACTTAATTGTATGAAAACTCGAAAATTCGACTTTGGTTAATTTTGTGATTTTAATTAAAAGCAGACGACTTTCAAGAATGTAAATCATAGATTTTTCTGATCGAAACCTGGTTTTACCCAAAATTCAGCTCTGAATTGTAAAATACAAAGCCCAATAAAACTAAAACATTATTTAATTAAAAAAGATTTTGATGGATTTTATGAATAATATATATTAAGTACACTATTGTCTGAAGCCAAAATATTTTTCCGATGAAAAATGAATTTTTACAAGAATTGGTTTTTTTTTCAATTTTAAATATAAAATGTGATAAAGTTGTTAAATATTTCAAGATTAAGTTTGAATCCGTGTCTTTTTGGAAATGCCGGTATTAAAAAGATCTATTGATACAGATCATAAATTTGAAAGCTTATTACAATCTGCGATATTTATTATCGATATTTTTTAAATATTTTTAAATATGCAAAAAATGTATTAAAAACCTTTTCTCCAAAATTATGGAAGCACGGTTTATAAATAGGTCACATGTTTTAAGAGAAAGGTCTTAAGAAATTGCTTTGCTTTCTTTGTGGCCAGCACGTACCAAATTCTCTGACTGCCTATCATAGTGGCATTTTCAAAATTTTTAATTTTCTTTTTTACTTCCGATTTCACTAAATATTTTAATTTCTTTTTTTTTAAATATAATTAACTTATTGCTTTTCAGTGAGAGACATACTGCAATTATTATTTTCTTTTTTGGATTCAATTTTAGGAACAGAAACAGTGGAGGCTTTGGACATATCTTCGTTAAAAAAGTACCTAAAAATCAACAAAATATTATACATTTGAAAGTATTTCATTTTTAAAAATTACTTTATAGTTAAATAGGCTGGTTCACTTAAAATTCGAAAATACTGTCACTTTTGTCCTTTCGTCCGATAAAATCCCCTGACGTTAGTTGTAAACGTCAATTCACACCTTCAAAACAAATCACCACGGTTAGACATGCTTCTCTTATTTCAACTAAATTTTTTCTGCTAAAAAAAGTAAGTAATGTTTGTTTCCAGTTACATTATGTAAACTTTAAGTTTCCTAATTTTCCTCAAATAAGTTTTGGTAAAGGTATAATTGATTTTTACAAGATTTTTAAACAGAGAATTTAACTTTTTTTTCCAAAGTTGTTAAAAATGGCGGACATGATCGATTTCATGACAATTTTGCTGACTAAAAACCAAGATCTTTAACTAAAATTTCGGACATGTAAGGTAGGATTAAAAAATGTAAAAAAATAATCAAAAAATACTTTGGTCTTTTCTTCTTAATAATAACAAACATTTAAACAATAAAAAAATGTTTATCAAGTTTGGGGCCTTTTTTCATAAGGGTATGCTCTTTTTTAGTGAAGTAGTGAAGATAACTGTAGCCTGTATAAAAAAAATACGATAAAAGAAAACAAATGCAGATGGATTCGTTATCACTTGAGGGTTACCAAACAAGTGTTTCCATGCGTAATATGTTTTTATCTTCTTTGAAAGCCTTACTACGTTTTAGCTAATTAATATAAGAGATTCTAAAAATCAGTGGCTATTCAGATAAAGAGAAAAGGCGTCCCAAGAAGGTAAAGCTATTCTATTTTGTTAAAAGGAGTAGTACGAAATAAATTTCATTAAATAATTAATTATATTTAATATTTACAACTCAAAAAACATTGAAGAAATATAAACGCTTTTTGACAGTTGTGTTTATCTTTTCTACTTTTATTTTATAAAGAAGCTTTATTCTTATGTAATTGGTTTTGTATAAAAATGCAAATTTAATCAGGCGCGGAATCAGTTTTAGTGTCATTAAATTTTTGGTATTTGCAATAATTGGTTGCGAGTTTGGTCATGCTTAATGAATGTTAGAATCCAGATAAAGGCTAAGGTTTGAATGTTGAATTTCGGTGTAACCTTGTCAATTTTTCAGGGAAAGTGATTTTTATAAAGGGATATTAAATTATTTTGTGAGCAAAGTTATCAGGAATAACTTCTTTTTAAAGGTTTTGGAGATTATTTCAAAACTATGCAAACTAAATTTTTGCAAAAGATTTTTTAAAAGACATTGAACACAAGACAATAAAGGTGATAATTTTCTGTATTTTATTTAAACTTTAAGCATATAAATTATTTTTTAATTCACTGAAACTTTATGCGATCTTCTTAGATTCTTAAAATAGTTATATTCTGAATACTCTACTAGTAATAATAATAAATTCAAACACGATCTAAAATTATACAAACAAGAATTGAAACAGGAACTACAACTATACAAACATGGCTTAATGGGAGGAGAAAATACTAAACATACAGGCTAAAAGCATCAAACAAAAAATAAAGGTCTAAAGAAAACTGAAAACCTTTACCAAATGTGAGCACATGATCCTGACGTAAAAAAAAAAATTGAACCATCCGTTGTGGAACTTTGGATTGAAGCCAGAGACAGAGGGATTCATCCTAGCTGCCCAAGATCAAAACCTGTCAACAAGTTACTACTAGGCAGATCCAAAATGTCGGACTTCTGACACCACTTGGTATATTAAGCGTATGGTAGCGAGAGAAAGGAATAACAAGGATTAGAGTGAAGCAACGTTTATTGTTGGTAAAGACTACAGAAATAGCGATCGGGTGTAAGTGTAGCGTCGGGAGTTGAACCATTTCTTGTGCCGGCGTGGCCGAGGTCACAGGATATGGTTGGTACACGTTGGTTGATGGAGGTCACGGTTGTAGGTCGTTTTGTCGGTTGGTCGACCTGTTGTGTTGAAATGGGGTGACGTCTGATTACCGTGGTCTTGGTAACCCTGTTCTGTGGAATGGAGACCGCTGGTGTCGACAGCGAAGGGAATGCCTTGAAAACGAGTCGAGGTAGGCCGAGGTGACGGTGGGTGTTGGAAGGCCAATTCTGTGAAACGGAAGTCGCTGCGTCGTCTGTGAAGGGAATGCCTTCTAAGCGAGTCGTGGTAAATGTGTTCTGTGGAGCGCATGTTGCTGTGTCGACTGTGAAAGGAATGCCTTTTAAAACGAATCAAAGTAGACCTGTTCTGTGGAGCGGATGTTGCTGAGTCGACTTCGAAGGGAGTGCCGTGTTAACGAGTCGAGGTAGAGCTATTGAAACCGGATAGCCGAGGTGGTAGTTCACGCCAGGAAGTGGTAACGGTCGTTGAAATGTGCGGTTATGTTGAATGGTCATTATAAGAGACTCTCATGAACATTATTCCAGTGAACTTTGAAATACTAAAATAACAGTTAAAGAGAGACAACTCTTGTTTATTTTAACCTTTTCTTACTTAAATGCATGCTTTCTTTCACATCGTTGTTTGATATTGTACTGTTGCGGACTGGCGAATGTATTTTAAGGTATCAGAAGGTTATTTTATCGATAGGGTTAATGATGTTGGTGTTCTTAATCATTCATCCACAACAAATTTAGAAACATGAATATTGAAGACAAATCATTCAAAATAAATCAGAGCGAAAACAACGTAGTTAAAGATATAACAATAACATGGATTTATAGAATAAATAATACACAATTGAATCAAAGGTTGTTGAACAAGTTTGAATGGTTGAGTTGAATTATGTAGTGTATTTATGCCAAGTTTCAGTGTGTGTGAAACTGTTATTAAGATTTGTGTGTGAAATTAAACTTAAAATTAAGTGTTTGTTCATGTACAAAAATGTCTTTTGTGGCAGTTCACTCAATAGTGTGTATGCGTGTGATTGTTTAAATTATTGTCCAAAGCTGGTATGAGTTGTGTACCTTTAGTTGTTTTGATGTTTGATTGAATGTTTACGAATACTTATTAGTAGTGAGTTATTATCAATTTTTTTAGTATTGTAAGAAATTGTTCCTGGTAGAGCGAAATGATGTCAGAGAAGTTTGTGCGGGAAAAGTGTAGCTGGTTAAAATTTTGACTGGCGTGGATTAGTTTGGCATTTCTCCAGGATGAAATTCTGACTACCCGTACTTGCGTGAGTGCTGGTAATGTTCTTTAAAGTCTGACCGTGTGGTTAAGACGGGAGGTCTTGATAAACACGAGGGAGCTTATTCGTTTTTGTTTATATAAGGCTGTGTCACACGTGATCGGCTCCGAAGCGAAAACGCGGGAAATATCATTCATCGCGTGCAGGCGATCTGATTGGTCGGAATTGACCAATTAGCGAGCTAGTTTTGAGGAGATTAACCAATGAATGCTTGTCGCATGATTTGTATGTATGTGATGATAATTACCACAGGGGAAGAGTGCATTTCCCTGCGGGGGTGACTGGCAAACGTAGAAGATTCCACAGTACATCTTGTTAAATACATATTTTATGTGTAACAATGTCTTTGGCTTATCCTTTTCTGGGTCAGCCCTGTTTCCTAATCTAAAGTTAAATTAATGTGGTGAAGTCCGCCACAAACTATCTAATATCTGGGTG